GCACGGGACCGCCCGGTGCGTTCCAGTCGGGTTTTGTCTTGATAATCTAGGTGAAAAATTCCTCCGGTCCCCTAAATCCAATATTTTGGTTTTTCTCTCCTACGTGCTAAGCGAATCTATAAAAGTAATAGTATGTAAAATTTATGTTAACTGTTTGTTTAGAAGGATGGGAAGGAAGATGATCAGGGATGGAGAAGTTCTGAGGGAACAAATTGAAAAGATGAGAGAATATCGCCACTTCAAAGGTGATGGTACTTCAAAAACTATTTCAATGAGTAGATTGCACATTGCTTCTGTAAACATCATGTGAAACAAGTTCTAAATCAGGACCGAACAACTCCTGCTTGCTTCGTCATTTCTTCGCTCCTGAATCCCTTTTTATGGGCCCCTTGCTTATCCCATAGAGGGCAGCTCTCCTTTTCTTGCTAGTTGCGTGCCTCTTTTGGATAGATTTTTTATGTCTTTTTTTTAAGCACTGCGACCGTCATACTGACGAAGTCCTGTTGCGATGTTGAGTTAGGGCGTATATGACTTAAATGGGCCGAAACGTCTTATCTCACTCTTACCCTTTTTCTCATACTGTTCTTTCACGCTGTAATCTGTCGCTTCTTCTCTAGGGTCAGCCTGCTTGCTACAATCGGCTTAATATTCCAATGCTTCAAAGTTTGGTCAGCTGCATTTCACAATGTCGTTCTCTAACTGTGTAGATGGTGTCTTTTCCATTTGCTTTGACCGATAACATCATCCTGTAGTCAGCAATCTGGCGATTCTGGCATTTGTTACGTCCGGGTCTGCTAAGTGTCGAAGTATTTCTGAACAAGATACATCGGACACACACACACATACACACACAATACGCACACAACATACACAGACAATCCCGTGACAACAGACGTTTCGTACCGATGTCACACAACACAAAACGCATAAAAATTGACTTCCGACGAGTTTTGAGTGTTTTTTTGGCCTCTGCGTTCTTTTCTGTTACAGATATGTTTACTGCATAATGAATATAAACCATCTTCTAATCAGTTCACATTTTGCAATAATCCTGCGATCAGTCCTCCTTACAGTTTTTGAAGCGACTATTACGGTAGGTTATACTGCACTAGTAGACTTTCGAGGTATTTTTAGCTCTTTATTGTTAACTACAACTGTAATTGCTGCGAACGTGCTAAGTAATTTTCCCCAATTTTCTATTTTAGTAGTTTTGCGCCTCACTCCTTCACCTCAAGAGCAAGTCCTGGGTATTTTTTTCTTAGCTTCAGAACAAAGGGAGCCAAGTGATTATTAGTTTATTCGTTCCTAAAGGGTGCAGAATAAATAATATGGGTTATTAAAGCAATGAAATTAAGCCCAGGATGCAACGCATCAGACTTGTCGGTGCGATCTTGCGTTTTTGCGCTAAACTTGTAGATCGTCAATAGCAGGAATGGTTCCTGCATTGTAGTCTAACGCTTGGGCTCATACTGACTGTGTTTTGGCCCCTCTCCACACGAAGGGAGAAAGGACGTCGACTGGAATAAAGGTGTTGCGTTGTGAGACCATGTGGACTCCCAGTGTGCACGATGACCAATCCTTGAAGTTCGGTCGTTTTTCTGAAAAATGCTCGTTAACTGAAAAAATGCAAGTTTGAAGGAGGTCGGGAGAGGACTATGAAAAAAAAATCCTGGATTCTTTCGGTCACTAGTTCGCACCTAAACTGTTCAGTCACTTCATTTCCTCAGATGTGGGAATTACTTTCATTTAAGGTATCTGGTCAGTGTGCTGAGCAAATTCAGCGATGTGCAGTAATCACCGAGGAATACGAGCGACTCATACAAGAAGTCAAGCACTCAGCGTTTCGTCACTGCTTTACCAAGCAAACGTAAATAGTATAT